TTCGAGGATAGACATTTACAGCACTATTATAAATTGCCTATGTTGTAAGCACTGTTTCTCAAAAATTAAATATCATGTCTTGATGTTGGTAGAGTAGCTTGGCGCAATGTCATGCATTTAAGCTGAGAACAAATTATCGGACGCGTCCGTCAGCCGCGGCTGACAGTCGCGGCTTAGCGGTGTGCACGGTAGTTAAGACGGCGTCTTCGGACGCCTCACTTCAGTCATTCTATAAAGGTGTTTCAATCGAGAAACACGACAAGCAGCGACAGCGAGGATGAATTTATAGAGCTAGCAGCAGCTGCCTTATGTTGTTTTCCAAAAAAAAAAAAAGTGAAAAGGAGTGTTTGGGTCCATGATATTAATGTAAAACGAATCGAGTATGATGAATTTCATACATTGTATCCAGACTTACAAAAAGATGATAAACGTTACAAAATGTACTTAAAAATTAATGAAAACCAATTTCATTTTCTGCTTGAAAATGATGTTTAATTCAGCAGCAATTTGCTCCCACACTTCCTGTTTTAAAGTAGCATTTATGTGGCCACGAACACATTCAATTAAATTTTCTTCGTCTGACATGTCGCGAGCACGGTCGGTTCGTTTGTGACGCTCGAAACGTCCGCGGACGCGTCCCGTGGCCTGTGCACACCGTCCGAGGACGCACAAATATCCAGCCGGCTAGATTCTGTTCGGACGTCTGAACGCTCAAGGACGACCCAAGGGCACGTCCGCGTCTTACGACCGATAGTTTGCACAGTGTAGTATTAAATGTACTGGCTAGATTCAAATAAGCTGCGTCGGTCAGCCGCGGCTGACGGACGCGTCCGATAATTTGTTCTCAGCTTACTTTTTCTGAGGAAGTCCCGCCTCTTAAACGTAGTGGTTATATTCTCTTTGCTGATACCTGATCAAAGACAATCGTTAGTCTATTGTAATATCGATGGTCTTATAAGAAACGATCGATTACTATTGAATACTTGAACAATCGATGTTTATTGAACACTAGTGAAAGTGAATTTTTGAAGAATGTATCGTTTGTGACAATTTTAATTTTTTAAGATAATTATAAATTCAACATTGTAACTTCAGACTCAGAAAGGCTAGAATACAGAGCCGTAAAGTCAGTAATAAAAAAAATCTGACTAAGTTTGTCCTATGGAGTGTAGAGTAGAAGGAGAACCATCTTATAAGGTGCGAAAGTTGAAAAAGTGTCCCACTACTTATATACTGAAAGTAGAGGTTCCAAAACCTACCACAATAGCGCTGGCGTCTGAAAAACTACGATATGAAGATAGCTGTTGTAGACGAAGTGAAGTCAGCTGAATTCAAATATTTAAAAAATTTCATGACTATAGTAGTTAGTAAAATGTCAGTATACAAAAACTCAACTATTTAGGTAGTACAAAACCAAGCGGATTGGTTGGTCCTTGTTTTGTAGTTGCGTTTTTAAGGACACTTTTCGTATATAGAGATAGTCCTCCTTGTACTCTACACTCCATAGTTTGTCCCATCTCTGACTAGTATATACAGTTTATCTGTGGTCCCATAGACATGAATGGTTTGTCGAATAAAATGTAGCTACCCTACCCCGACCTACGAATTTGGGATATAGATATAAATAAAAATACGCATAGATGTGTTTTTAATAGCACTTGTCAAAACTTTTTATTATTTAAACCGCACCCTCGTAGTTTATGAATAAAAAATAGGTAAATATCGCGCATCTTATAACGTCGATAGCTCTGCAGATACTTACTGTTTATGTCCAAATTTGGTTATGTGTGAACGCCACGCAATTGCGTTCGAGCTGGCGCGTCACCCAATAGTATGTAGGTGAGATAAGCGCCGAGGTGGGGCGGCCGTGTGCGGCTTGCAGTGGCTCGACGCGTGGGCGATGATGGGGGAGTTGTCCACTGGCCACGAAGCGGGGAATCCGCGTAGCTGGTTTATCGCGGCCGAAGTTCACGCGACCGTTGTCGGGTCCAGATAGTTAGATTAAGGGCGTGTTACTTCCTTACGTGGATATGTGAATTTTGCAATATTTAACTTGTTTGGGGATGCGGAATTGCGCACGCGCGCGTCGAGTAGATATACGGTCTAGGATTCGAACCGCGCATCCCTTGTTCGAGAGCTTCTCCCGGTTGATCGTCAGGAAATCATTATAATTGTCCCGTCGCGTTAAGTGCCCTTTTTTGTGTGTGTTGACTTGTTAGTTTACGTGTCAACGAGGCGTATTTTGAATCTTTTCGCGACGTGGTGTTTTGGTGTCGAATGAAGGAACTTAGTTGCGTTTAACGCTGAATCGTGGAATTAGGCGAATTTAAGTTAGTTAAATGTACAATGAAGCTAATAGACTGATATAGTGACAAGGAAGAAAGAAATGGTCCAGCGGTGGAGCCTGCTGGAGCGATGCAGCATTTTGGGGCAGCCTGGAACTCGGCCGCTGCTGTTCGCCTAAGGTTGTCAAGGCCTCACACATTTACACATCACTGAACACTACCTGCCATTCACCTCACACCCACTCACGGCCTGACCGAGCCTAGGTGCGAAGTTAGCCGCTAATACTAGTACGTAATATGTGTTTTTAGCATTCTTCCATATAGCTTAGTATTATAGGAAATTTTTCCATGTGGCCATTTTGGGCCCGTCCTGCGGCTGCTCATGGAACCTTCTGCTCATGGGCCCCGGAAGATTCGACCCTTCCTGGAGCAGCTGTAGGCCGTAACACTTACAATTCGGTACTTCTTATAATTTAAAATAACTGCACCCTGCTTGAGTCCAACTAATAATCCATAAAATGCAATACTAATTGCAAAAAGTTAATAAAATTCAATTTATCAGTCGTCGAATTGCACTGCACCCTCTCCTTATTAGTTCAGTGCAAAACTACGCATCCGAGGAGCAACAAAAAAAAAATAAACAATTGAAACTCTTATAATGATGTATTCCTTTCTCAATTCCTAGATTTTTTTATCACTGACATTTTAAAATTCTTATAATTAATTTTTTTTCAAATTAAACATGGTTTTTAATTATTAATAAGCATTTTAAGTTTTATCTCCATTTAAAAACGGCCAATCAGAATCAGTTTATGGTTGTTAATAACAAGAAAACAAAAGACAATGCATTCGCCTAGTATCTACTATTACTTTGTAACGGTTTTGACCAGTCATTGATTCTAAAGTGTTTTGTTTTAACTTATTATTATTAGTAAATTTATTTAATAAGAATAATTGTTGAATTTAAAATCTACAATTATTTTAGTCTGACTATGTAAACAGTATAAAAGTTTAAACTTAAAATTTTACAGAAATAATTAAATTAAACTTGATTTCGTTGTTTCATCAAATTTTCAAATGTCAATATTGCGCTATTGACGTTATTAATCCTATCAGTATCGATGTATAATTGTTATGTTCATTAAATAAATTAACTAATAAAATTGCAAATGCTTCCTATTACTATTTTTATAAATCCTTTATGAACAAAGATGTATACAGAATATGAAAGAAAAAAATATGATATATAATTGGTATATTAATTATTTCACTTTATAAATATTTACAATCATGTGATGTTGAATATTGAATATTATTATTTTAATTTCATAATTTAACGTCTAGACTTCCAACTTAACACTTATACAAGTTTGTTTATTTAAAATATATTGACTTCTAATATGTCATTGACTTCTAATAAAAGGATCGCATATTGCTGAGAGAATTAAACTGTAGGATATTCGATATATAAATCTAAAAACGAGATTATTAGTATACCTGTGGAAACAATTTTCAATTTAAAACCAAGTTTTTTATTATGCAGATAGTGTAATTGATTTGATTACAATTTTTATACTTCCATCGTCAACTTAATGACGCCTATTACACTTTGTAATAGCTTTGTAATTTTTATTTATTTATTTATATTCACTATTTTATTAAGAAGGAAAATGTACTAGTTAACCTCCTATACAATTTATAATGCAATATAGGTAATCTGCGTGAAGTCGCCGCTAAAGAACTCCCAAAATAAAAACCCTAGAATATCTGCGCCGCGCATGCCCCAAGTCGCCGTGCAATTCGATGATTGATAAATTGAGTTTTATTAACTTTTTGCAATTAGTATTGCATTTTATGGATTTTTAGCGATGGTGGAGTTAGATTCAAGCTGGGTGCATTTTTTTTTAAATTATAAGAATGACCGAATTGTAAGTATCTGAAGAGATATCGACGTTATAAGATGCGTGATATTTACCTATTTTTTATTCATAAACTACGGGGGTGCGGTTTAAATAATAAACCTTTTTGAGAAGTGCCATTAAAAACACATCTATGCGTATATTTATTTATATCTATATCCCAAATTCGTAGGCTGGGGTAGGGTAGTTGTAAAATGTCAGGGCCTGTGCCGGCTGAAAGGCTGTATGGCTTATTTCCTTTGCCTGCTCTCTTGAGCGAATAATAAAAATAACAACAACTGAGCCGCCTGAGCCTGAGAGGTTAAGGAGTTTTGGCGGTAACTTGACCGGCGGCGGTTTGCTGCTCCTGTATTATAGTTTAAATAATAGTTTGAAGTGGATTTTGATATGTAAAAGTGATGCAGTTTTATGTATTAACTGTCTACGCATGTGAACTATTAGTGGAAACGGTGAAACAGGTGCTCTGATGGGCGCCTTTAGATACCATCGCTAACTATCAGCTGTCTGCTGGCTCAAGTTGCCGTCAAAACCTCCCAAGGGCTGCACAATGTGACGCATCAACATATTGCGAAGCAGTCAACTATGAAGGATAATATAAAAAAGACAAGGCTGTATGGCTTAGTTCCTTTGCCTGTTCTCTCGAGCGAATAATAAAAACAACAACAACAACTGAGAGGTTAAGTCATAATCGTCATAATAATATGTCATAACAAACCAATTTGTGGGGGAAATCGCGGAAACCCGGAAAGTAAAGAGTAAATGATACTAGGAAAGCGGAAAGAGTCAGTTTGAAAACATGGAAGCAGATTTAGAAGATGATATCGATGGATCTATACATAGTATTCACGTCCGTAATTTTTTTTGTCACGATAATTTAGAAATCAATTTAAATCGAAATGTAAACTTTATAGTTGGTCGGAATGGCAGCGGTAAAAGCGCTATTTTAACGGCTTTAGTAGTTGGATTGGGGGGCAGAGCTTCCGCCACTAATCGTGGAAATAATTTACATTGTAAGTATTTTAGACCTAAATAAATTATGTTTGTAATAAAATGTTAGCGATACAAACAATTAAATTAATCATGATTTTTTATTTACGTTAAAAACCGAAAACTAATGGTACCTAAGTGAAGTGTAGGGCGGCACGCCAATTAGATAGAGTGACGACCTGCTAAATATTTAGCTCAACCATGTTTTGTTTCATTGGTTAAGGTTTAGAATCAAGGCGCCTTAATAGGGGTGGGGCCTCCCCCACGGTGACGGTGTGAAAGGGGGGAGGGGTAGATTCACCCCCACCCATTCCCTGCCGGACGTGCCTATTTTTTTATATTAAATGTTGAAGATTAAAATTTTTATTGAATGATTTCTGAGAAAAATCGCTTTAATAGGGAGGGGGGGCGTCCCCTCTCCGCCGAAGTAATACCAAAGTGTAGTTGACGGGTCCCGCTAAGTGGGGTTCCTATTTCTGGATGGTTTATAAAAAACTAACCACGAAGGGGATGGAGGGGTCTGTTCGCTCTCATAGCTTGCTCACTCGACCCCGCCATCCCCTTCTAACCTAACCTATCCGAGTCGGGGTGCCCCAAGTCCCGAGCTCGCTTTGCTCTCTTTGTACCAAATGCTACTTGATGAACAACAAAATGTTAACTTTTATAATTACTTTAATAAGTAAACATATTTTATTACTTCCACCATTTCCAAAAACGTCTTAAAATAAAAAGCAATCGGTCTCCAGAGGTGTAGTGAAGTCGTTGAAAAACAGGAATCTGATAATAACAATCAGGAGCACATTCATGTAAACTCTGGAGCAACGGAATGGCGAGAGTTGTAAAGTCAAGTATATATATAAGTCAAGTATGTATATGATTATATTCTCTTTGGTCGAGTATATCTGTTACTGTGTCAATATCAAAAGTTCTGTTTTAGGTATTAATTAGTGATTTATAAATATTTTTAGAAAATAACTTTAAATATTTCAACGCAGCTCTGGAAGCTAAAATTGCATGGGGGCGCATGACATAAGCCCCCTTGACCCCCCACAGTAACAGACTCCTCAAATTCAGGCAACTTGATTCTAAGCCAAACCCGTTTCATTCCTTGGGAGGGCATATGTTCAGCAGTGCACTTGTGATATGATGATGATATGAATACTACACTTGCCTCGACTCCTGTGACACATTTATGTGCACATTTAACTCTATCATAGTGTTAAATTTTAAATGGAATCCCATTCTTTTAATACGTGGTAGAGTGATGCTACAGCTATATCAATAGAACAGTTGTAGCATGAATGAGTCTTCTCAACCGGTAAGGACCACGCTCTCACAGAATACCAGCGTAAAATAGCAGCTTAATGCAGCTGTGTTTTGTTTGGTGAGTGTAGAGAACCATATACCCTTTTTACTGGAAAAACGAGGTTAGATGTAGATGTCTATGGTCCACAGCAACCACTTACCCTCAGGTGGACTGTGTGCTAGCTTGTCACCCATATCCTATAAAAAAAATCATCAAGTACCTATATCCTACGTTGTAATATTTGTTTTTCTTTTCTGCTGACTTCAAAAAGGAGACGGTACTCAATTTGACTGTATATTCTTTTTTTTTATGTGTGTTACGTCATAACTTTTTTCTAGGTGAAAGCTGGCACTTCTCATGTGGTCCCATATAAATTTAATCAAGGTCTGACCAATAGTTTTGTGTTATTGTTAATAATTTATATTGAAGTCGGTTGTACAAAATTTTTAATCTTATATTATTTAATGTAATTTTTACTTTTTAGCATTTATTAAGAAAGGCGCCAACTCTGCCACAGTGGAAATCAAAATAAAAAACAATAGTTCAAAAGCGTATAAACATAGTGTTTACGGAGATTACATAACTATAGTTAGAAACATCCCTGCATCTGGAAGCTCAAGCTACAAAGTCAAATCGGCAACAGGTAATTTGATAAGTCCATAATCTTCATGGTAATGAATAGTCACTATAGCTTACAGTAAATATTATAGCTATGGAATGACCTCCTCATGGTGCCAACTTCGAGTATGAACCTAGTAACTGCATAGGAAAAATAGTGAAAATAGTGAAACATAGAGAGGTGTTCTTCCACCACTAAGGTGGAGGTAAATCACATTGTTCAAGTCAGATACTCGCAAGTTCGTTCACAACATAAGCAGAATAAAAACCGAACCGAGGATGTGCCACCTAGTTTCCACATTCTCTAACTTAAGGCCAAACAAGTGCATTTGTTTGGGTTCAATGGACTAACAGTTCCGCATAATATCTTGTTAGTAAGAAGACTACTGCAGCTCAGACACCTGTAACCAATTTTAAACATAGAAGTGCAAAGATACTTTGTTTTTCTAATACCTTAGATGAAGTGCCTCTCGAATTGTAATTGAACTGGCCGTCTTCATATTGAAACACGGTTTCAAGTCTATTGCTGTTTGGTAGCAGAAAATATTAAGATTATGGTACTTACCCATACAAACTCCTAAGCAGAAAAAGGTCCTTACCAAAAGTTAAAGTGACCATCATCCTTAATGTTCACTAATAAACACCATCTTGATATTTCTCACAGACTGTAACAAAAAACAGCCATAACATACCACATTTACTATTAAAGCTTGCTTCCCTAGATCTCTAACAGTTAATTTAACCAAACAAAAAATTTAAACCATTTTAAAAAAACTTTTCGGGCCTCTCAATTAAGGAATATTATTTTAGTATGCTTGTAATTCTGACAAGTGTCGTAAAAGTCGATAAAGGAACATTTGAGCAAGAAGATAAGTAGACTATGGTTGTCAATTCATCGAATTATCATGAGGGATGTAAAGAAACTGCATTAAAACAGTGCAGTTCCTTAAGAACTTATATCTTGATAAATATTGGTCCTTGATTCCGATCCTTTTCACTAATCTTCCATTTTTTGGTAACAGCTCGTACTATTGTACATTTGTGCATTCCCGCGAATTCGCGCTGTCGGCTTCCCGGGCGTTGAGGCGAAATTGACGCTTCCATTCTGCCGCAATGTAAATTAAGTTGATTAGGTACCACCTAACGGTGCCGTAATCTACTGGTAACGCCACTTGTGGTGGGAACGGCAAACCATACGTGCGTCTTTTTGAAAACGATCGGAAGTCGCAACGTGGGACAGCATGAGTAAAATTAGAAGCCAGAAGCCTAAGAACGACGACGAAACGCTGGTGGGAATCTTCGAGGAAGCCCCCGCGTCCCCCTCAGACTACCTATCGTTGACACACGCGCTCTCGCCCCCGCCTACGCCCGCATCTACGCTCGCGCCCGCGCCCGCTCTGCCGCTCCCCGCTATGTCCGTGTCTACGACGAAGCGATTGTTAGAAACCAGTACATCCGCGCCGCGTACAGATACACTCGCCGCGATAATGGAAGATCTTCCGGTCACCGAAATCAGTTCGAGAGTACATACTGTCGCGCCCGTAGCTTCCGATGCTGTACATAGGCCCGCGCCGCGTGCCCCGTCAGATCGATCAGCCCAGTCAACAGCTAGAGCGATCGCGAAATTAATACAAATAGAGTATAATACGGCCGAAGAACTCGCCGCGATTAGGAGAAAACAGCTTCAAATCGAAGAAGAGTTAATCAAGAACAAATATGCTAGGGACATCGCGCAATTATAAGAGGAAACCGATAGGGAAAGTTTAAACGAAGCCGAAATAGCCGAAAACAGGAGTCGTGTTGACCAACGGTTATATAACGTGGAGACTGCGGGGAGAGCCGCCCTGCCGCCCGTCTCAGCCCGCACTCATCGATTGAGTGCAGGCCCCGCCGGAAGAGAGGACCGATTGCGTTCCTGCGCTACCCGTGTATGTTGAAGATGCCCAGGGGAGGACGGTCGCGAACAATGATCAGCCACGTCACGCGAATATAGCACAGAGGGATAGTGGAGAGGTTATGACGTCAACGCGCGCCAAATGCCGCACTCTATCGCCAAAACATAGGTCGCCATCGCCACATCGCCGCAAGGATAGTAGATTATCTTCGCCGTATCGTCGCGGTGTAGGTACACATAGGTCACGGTCACCATATAACCGCGATAAATCCCCGAGTCGTCGTGTATCGCTAGAGAGAAATAGGGATAGAGGTAGGTCGTTCACCCCCAGAGGGAAAGAAAGATACGGGTATCGAACGGCTAGCAGAGAAGCATTAGAGAATAATATGGTACGATTCAGATCAGCCGCAGCGAAGCAAACGCAGGACTTGCCTATTTTTAACGTTTTAGTCGCGGAATGGTTAGCGTTTAAAGCGGCGATAAGAGAATCTACTCGGTTGTATGGATTCACGGATACGGAAAATATGGTAAGATTGAGAAACTGTTTACGTGGTGCTAGTCTCAGGAAGCAGTATCGGCACTGCTGTTTACCGCTAAGGATCCAGCGGATATTATGCGGACACTGGAGCAGTGTTTCGGCCGCCCGGAAGTTATTATAGACCATGCGTTAGAAGACTTAAAACGCCTTCCGCTCCCGGGTCAAACCGCTCAGGAGTTAAACGCGTTCGCAATTAGGTTACAGAATATCGTCAGTATTATGAAGAGTACCTTTAACCGACGAGCGTGTATGCGTAGGTATATGGATGTGGAGGAAGCGAGAGAGGTGTGTCAGGATCGTGCCAAATGGAAGTCCATAATCTCTGCCTACCCCTCTGGGTGACAGGCGTGAGTGTTTATGTTATGTTTGTTATATGTTATGTTATGAAGAACGTCGACGGTAAAGGGCATTTGCAAAATCCTATGCTTACAAGAGAGGTCACGAGTAAACTGAGTCCTCATTTACGGTTGCGTTGGTGCGATTATGCGGAGCACTACGGAAGTGCTGATGAACCGGATATCGTCACGATATCACGGTTTATGATGAGAGAGGCTGACCGTGCGTTGAGTCACGCCTACACGTCCGCAGCACCAACTAGGGGAGCGCCCGTGAAGAGAGAAGCACCGCCGTCGAAACGAGTTATAGTCACACGCCGCGTTGAGGGTAGGCCTCGCGACGTAACGCGTTCACCACACAAGAGGACAGTGAAAGTGTCAAGTGTTTGTGTTGTGGTGGTGAACACGTAATAGGCAAGTGTAGGAAACTGGTGCAGATGGACGTTGTTACGGCCTACAGCTGCCCCTGCAAAGATCGTCTTGGTTGGGGCCCATAGCAGCTTCCTCGACGGGCAGACGCAGGTCGGGCCCAATGGCCATATGGAAGAATTTCCTATAATACTAAGCTATATGGGAGAAGGCTAGGGAAATATAGTACGTACCTGTTTCCGACTCTTAGATCGCCCCAATGCTCGGTCAGGCCGTAAGTGGGTGTGAGGTGCATGGCAAGTAGTATTTAGTGATGTGTAAATGTCTGAGACCTGGACCAGCTTAGGCGACCAGCAGCGGCCGAGCTGAAGGCTGCTCCACAATGCTGCATCGCTCGAGCAGGCTCCACCGCTGGACCATTTCTTTCTTCATTGTCACTATTTCAGTCTATTAGCTTCATTGTACATTTAACTAACTTAAACTAGCCTAATTCCATATTCATCATAGAGTCGAACACGTGATACCCGACACAGTAAGGACAGTAGTTCAAAATTCGACATTCAATGTCCCGGATTCACTTATCACAAAATTATAAATAGGTAACTAACGCGATCTCTCAATGAGTCATATAGCGTTAAACACAACTAAGTTCCTTCATTCGACATCAAAACACCACGTCGCGAAAAGAATTTAAAATACGCCTAACTAACAAACTAACCAACACACAAAAAAGGGCACTTAACGCGACGGCACAATTATAATGATTTCCAGACAATCAACCGGGAGACGCTCTCGACCAAGGAATGCGCGGTTCGAAGCCTAGACCGTATATCTACTCGACAAGCGCGTGCACAATTCCGCATCACCCAAACAAGTTAAATATTGCAAAATTCACATATCCACGTAGCGAAGTAACACGCACTAAAAAAAACTATCTGGACCCTACACGGTCGCGTAAACTTCGGCCGCGATAATCGAGATACGCGGATTCACCGCATCGCGGCCAGCGGACTACTCTTCTTCGCCCACGCGTCGAGCCACTGCAAGCCGCACACGGCCGCCCCACCTGGCGGCGTTTTTTTCACCTACATACCATCGGGTGACGCGCCAGCTCGAACGCAATTCGATGGCGTTCAAAATTGACCAAATTTGGCCAATGACGTATACAGTGAATGCTCGAACGATAAACAATCTGAGTAGGTTCGTAGTCCGTCGGTAAGGAGTGTCTACGTTTAAAGCATTTACGTGGCTAATCGAGCGAAGTATGTTATAACGACGAGAAACCGAAATTATTAATAGGATCAGATAACTGGCATTTAATTTACGAATAGGACGTCGTAAGCAACCCATCGCCGCTAGGACGTTGCTAGGATGAGTCTTACAAAGGACCGCGCCGCGTGTAATATGTAAACAAGTCGGTGAAACAGTATTACACATATCGAACGCTAACGGGCGGTTGGATAAGGATGTAAAGACGTTCGGCAGTCCAGATGAAGAGCTGACAGATCTTCTCAAGAGGCAGTACGAGATCGACTCCATAGGTATCTCGCTGAAGAGCAGACCAAGGCAGGAAGGGGAGTGCGCTGTCGACATATTCCAGCGCACCGTCAAGAGGGTTGGCCAGCAATACTAAGTCGGACTACCATGGAGGGACGACGACGTCAGGATGCCACCGACTTACGAGATGGCAGCGCTAAGACCCCGAACCATCGAGCGAAGGATGGATCAGTCGACGGTGTATAGGGATGCGTGCTATGCTCCCACGGGGGAAGTAATAGAGAACCGACCTCACGATGGTAGGGAACGTACTCATTGCGACGGTACGGATAGGCCTACGTTATTAGCGGCCGAGGCGATAGTCGCCCTTAAGAGTATACTGCGAGTTGAAA